GTTCTTTTGCTCAAGGCTAGTGCTCTACCACTTTGAGTCACAGTTCTACTTCTGGTTTTCTGGTGGTTCATTGGAGATACGAGTCTCATAGACTTTCCTGCCCAGGCTTCCTTTGAACCACGATCCTCAGATCTCAGTTTCCTGAGTAGGGAGAATTATAGGTATGAGCCACCAGTGCCCAGCTGCTTGATATCTTTTACTATTCAAAAACCTGCTCAAGGGCTGGGAAGGTGGCTCAGTGGTAGAGCACTTGCCTTGCATGCCTGAGGCGCTGGGTTCGATTCCTCAGCACCACATAAGAAAAAAGAAAAAAGCCGGAAGTGGCGCTGTAGCTCAAGTGGTAGAGCGCTAGCCTTGAGCTGAAGAGCTGAGGGACAGTGCCCAGGCCCAGGCCCCACGAACGGACCCCCCAAAAAAACAAAAACAAAAACTTGCTCAAATTGGAGAACTCAGTGTGTGAAAATCCCTCACTTCCCAAAATATTGTAGCTTAGTATTTTCTGGAGGAGAGAAGGGTGACTGAAGTTTGCTCATCTCTAATGTGCACTCATGTCTCTTTCCAGAAACGTGGCCCTCTTCCCATACAGAAGTCAGGAGCATATGCTTAGTCCTCTGGAATTAATCTGGAAGGGGAAGTGGAGTGCAGTGGTAAGAATCCGGGAGCAATCAGGAGTCCAGGCTCCTTTGCCTCATTGTACTTCTGCGTCACTAGCCCACGGGGCACAAGAGCTTTGGTTTTACCAGTGTTTGTCTGTCTGCTGAAGGAAAGCCACCAGAGTGTGCAGACAGTGCCAGAAGCCATGGCCCTAGAGCGGGGGAGGGGGCTGTCTTCTATCCAATGCTCTAAGTCATAGTGACAGCTAATTCAGGACCTTCCTTCCTTTCTTTCTAAAGGGAGCAGTAGACATGTGATCTTTAGGGTAGCTTCTAAAACACAAAATCCTAATTTCACAATTCTCTGTGCTTAGCATATTGGATATGTGAAGACTTGCATCTCTCTCTATAACAAGCAAGCACAAATTTCCAGAAATAAATCATGCCATGAACACTAATGAGATTGTGCATTCTATTTCACTTTTAAATCTTCGATACAAATGAAATTGCAGTCACACAGAAGAGAGAACTAAAGGACCTCAAGTTCTGTTTTCCCATCTCCACAATTAAAATTGCTCAACAGTGTTTCTTTCAAATCTGTGGTTCAGACACAGCAGTACTTTATGTTGGAGACACAAACCCAAACAAAACTGGATAATTCCAATCAAATCCAAACAACGTGGGTGTCTGAGATTTCATGGATCAGGGCTAACTATATATATATGAGATTCTTAGGAATAATTTGCTGGCAGATTGCAGTGTGTACTAAGAGATAAATAAAAATGTGCTAAATAGAAAAAAATAAAAAATAAAAATGTGCTAAGTTGAAGATTACATATCTATTACTAAGACTCAGCAGTTTTGACAGCAATTGTTTAGAAGTGAGATGGAAAGATTTGGGGGTGAGGAATTACTTTATCACTGACATTGCTTGTGTTGGTGCACAAAGATGAGAAAGAAGACCAAATACCATGGCCAGCTCAGGCAAGTTTGAAAGATCCCACCTCCACAAAAAAGCTGGGCATGGTGGTATATGTCTATAATCTCAGCTAAGTTGGAGGCATAGGTAGGAGGGATGTGATCCAGGGCATGCCCAGTCAGAACAGGCACGACTCTCCCTGAAAAATAACCTTAAAAGGGGGGGGGGTTGGGCTGGGAAGGTGGCTCAGCGGTAGAGCACTTGCCTTGCATGCATGAGGCCATGGGTCCATTCCTCAGCACCACATAAGCTGAAAAAGCTGGAAGTGGCTCTGTGGCTCAAATGGTAGAGCACTAGCCTTAAGCTGAAGAGCTGAGGGACTGTGCCCAGGCCCAGAGTTCAGGCCCCACAACCGACCAAAAAAAAAAAGGGGGGGGTGTTAAAGTGTGGCTCAAGTGATAGCAATTCTGCGTACTGACCAAGTCCCTGTACTGACCAAAAAAAAAAAGGAGGGCAGGTTTTAATTTTAACTTTTTTGTATCTATTTTTAAAATATATATTTATTGTAAAAATACTGTACAAAGGGGTTACAGTTATGAGTAAGGTAATGAGTATACTTCCTATTGAGCATTGTTACCTCCTCCTTTGTTTTTCTCTTATGATCACTTTCCTCCCCACCTCCCCAGCTTCTCCCTCCCTTCGCCCCCCCAAGCTGTGAATTTTTTTTTTCTTTTTTGCTGGTCCTGGGCCCTGTCCCTGAGCTTTTGTGATCAAGGCTAGTACTGTACTATTTGAGCCACAGCTCCACTTCTGGCCTTTTGTGCTTAATGGAAAATGAGTCTCATAGACTTATCTGCAAGGCTAACTTTAAACTGAGATCCTTAGACCTCAACTTCATGAGTAGCTCAGGATTACAGGAGTGAGCCACTGGTGCCTAATCTAGGTTGGGTTATGGAGTTTATTACATCTCTGCTCAAGGCTTGACACCTAAAGTTTCAATGCTAAGAGAATTGACAACAACTCCACTTTATGGAGGAAAATTCCCAACACATTATCTTCATCTGTTATGGCAAACAAGTGTGCTGTTAGGAGGAATCATCTGAAATACAGATACTCAGTTTTGACCCATATGAAGAAGCCAGATTCTTATGGCTCAAGGTAACTGACATGTTGCAAGTTGAAAATCTGGATTCATGGGCCTTCAGAGAGAGGAAATCCAGGTGTTGGGGAGTTCTTGATCTTTTGGTTCTTCACTGGACCTTAAGCCAACCCTGAGTGTCTAGACGTTGACTAGGTTTAGTTCAATACAAGGCACTCGCCCAAGTCTCATTTCCCTGAGTCAGTGAGGGGGAATGAAAGACCTTCCCCCAAGACCTTGGAAAATGGAACCAGGCAAGCAGGAAGGAGAGCAACTGCAGAAGGAGCACTCCTGCAGAAGGAGCACCCCCGCAGAAGGAGCACCCCTGCAGGAGGAGCATCCCTGCAGGAGCACCCTTGCAGAAGGAGTACCCCTGCAGGAGGCGCACACACGCAGAGCACCTCCACAGAGGGAGCACCCCTGAAGGAGCCTGCAGGAGGAGCATTCCTGCAAGAGGAACACACTTGCAGGAGGAGCACTCCTGTGGAAGGACCACTCCTGTAGGAGGAGCACCCCCGCAGAAGGAGCACCCCTGCAGGAGGAGCACCCTTGCAGGAGGAGCACCCCTACAGAAGGAGCACCCCCACAGGAAGAGCACCCCCACAGGAGGAGCACTCCCGCAGGAGGAGCACCCCCACAGAAGGAGCACCCCCACAGGAGGAGCACTCCTGCAGGAGGAGCATTCCTGCAGGAGGAGCACCCCTGCAGGAGGAGCACCCTCGCAGGAGGAGCACTCCTGCAGGAGCACCCCCGCAGGAGGAGCACTCCTGCAGGAGGAGCACCCCTACAGAAGGAGCACCCCCGCAGGAGGAGCACTCCTGCAGCACTCCTGCAGGAGGAGCACCCTTGCAGGAGCACTCCCATAGGAGCACTCCCTGCAGAAGGAGCACCCCTGCAGCAGGAGCACTCCTGCAGAGCACCTCCGCAGGGACGCCACCCAGCCTCAGCCGCGCGCCCCACGGCGGGAACTCGCGTGCACGCAGAAGTGACGGCCGCGGACACCGCCCGGCTCGCGTCCGCCCCGCGTCCCCGCACACTGGGCGCTGGCAGGACGAA